ATAATAATAATAATAATAATAATAATAATAATAATAATAATAATAATAATGGCAGGATATAAATTAAATAAGCAAAGTGAAGTGAGGTTTTGTATCTCTGACAGATCCTGTGGCTCATGTCTCTTTCCTTCATTTGAGCCACTGCACCCACGTTATCAGCGGCACGTTGCACCCATGCTGGGATGAGACCCTCCTCTTTGAAGACATTTTGATTTATGGAGATCCTCAAGGGACGGCTCAGGATCCCCCCATTGTGGCCGTGGAGATCTTTGACTATGATTCAGGCGTACGTAGGGGGGACATTTCAGTGGTTCACGAGAAGTTTCGAAATCTTCACCACTACACCAGAGGTGGTATTCAGCAGTAGTGGAAATTTTGATTAGTTCGGAGAACCAGCAAATACCAGCTCTGACTGGCCCCGCCCCATCTATTCTCTGCCTCCTGAGTCCCAGTTGATCGTCTGGGTCTTCTTTTGTTGCCCTGCACAGGAGAACGGAGCTGAAAAGCAGGTTAGGGGAGGAAATGGGATTTTGCAGTATCCTTCCCCTACCACGCCCATGAAGCCTGCCCACTGAGCCACACCACGCCCACCAAGCTATGCCCACAGAACCGGTAGTAAAAAATATTTGAATCTTACCACTGCACTACACCCCACTGGTTCTTGTCATTTCAAGATGTGCTTCACAGATGATACATAGACCTCTAACTCTACATAGAACATCTAACTCAGTGGTGGTATTCTACCGGTTCGGCCTGGTTCTATCAGGTCGGTAGTGCCAATGAGCAGCGGAGACCAAACTCTCCGCTGCTCTGCTGTTGGGCCCACCCACTGGAGAACCGGTTGTTAGAAGAAATTACTGGGCTAATCCTGTAAGAAAGGCTGGAAGGAAACATTCTGGTGTTGCTTACAGAAACTGCCTCTCCGTTAACCCTTATTACATTCTTGGAAGGACTAGACTTCCTGTCTCTGGAACTTCTCTGGAGGTCTTTCCCCTCCTTTGCTGGTACTTTGCTTGTGTGGAGTGACCATTCAAAGTTAAAATGGCACTGAAAGAAGTGACTTATGATCATTTTTCACACTTACAACTGTTGCAGCATCCCCACAATCTTGAAGGCCAGGCGAGGAGATGCGTGTCTCGATGTGAGTGATGTTGAGTTGACCACGCCCAGCCAGTCACATGACCACCAAGCCATGCCCACCACCTAAGCCACACCCACAGAAACGGTTGTTAAAAAATTTGAATCCCACCCCTGCACGCACCCACCAAGCCACACCCACCGAACCGGCGGTAACAATTTTTGAATCCCACAACTGATCTAACTCTACATGTGGTAGAACATCCCCGAAATGCCTTTAGCATCTGACTGATTGTTATATTATCTTACCCAGCACCCAGACACGTCTTCTTTGCCCTTGGCCACATTGTTCACAAGCTTATCTGCTTTGCCTCACTTCTTTCCGATAGGCCCGATCCAATGATTTTATGGGAAGATGCATCTGCATTCCAATGGTGTGCCTGGATCTGAATGTACGAAGTATACCCCGTCTCCAGAAGCATCCTATCACCAGAAACGAAGAGGAGAATGGTTACCTCATGGCTGCTTTTGAGCTTCTCTTGGATAGGAAGGTGAAAGAAAGAAAGAAAGAAAGAAAAAGTCACATTACATGTTTTTGAGGACTCTGGAGGTACTGTCACAAGTGCACAACACCACACTGTCAAACGGAATGATGGATCGGTCCAGAGGTGGCATTCAGCCGGTTCTCACCAGTTCTGGAGAACCAGTAGCAATGCCGCCTCTGACTGGCCTCACCCCCATCTATTCTCCGCCTCCCGAGTCCCAGCTAATCAGCTGGGTCTTCTTTGGTTGCCCTGCAAAGGAGAACGGAGCTGCAAAGCAGGTTAGTGGGGTGGGGGAGGGAAGGAGGATTTTTCAGTATCCTTCCCCTGCCATGCCCACCAAGCCACGTCCACAGAACCGGTAGTAAAAAAAAATTGAATCCCACCACTGGTCCTTTTTCCTCAGCAAACCTGAGCAATTCTCTAAAAAGAGGAAATGGATGTAATCGTGAAACTGAATGGTCTTTTCCAGGATTACAGGGAGCCTCCAGCCTTCCATGGAGGCCTTCTGTTGATGCATAGATAATTGGGAAGAAATATATCAAACTTTGATTTTTTCAGTATGCATGATTAGAATGACTTTGTTGTGGTGGAAATGTCTCACAATGTTTAGAAATGTAAAATAAGAGGGTGGTTTTGTAATTCTGTTTGCATTTTAATGCAATGGGGAAAAAAAAGGTCAGAAGCTACTAAATGTCTATGGAGATTCCCGGTCATCCGTGGTTGTGCCAAAGGTGCTTTTTCAAGAGGTGACTAGTGACTAAGGTAGGATCCCACTACTGCATGGTACCCAACTTCAGAAAGCTCTAACTTTTTCTTCTTCCAGGACGGATCCATGGGGAAACTTCCACCTCCTACTTGGAAAGTTGGTGTTTATACAATCCCCAAAGGAATCCGGCCCATTTTGCGGCTGATGGCTGTGGAGGTGAGCTTGCGAACCAATTCAGGTGGCTCCAGACATCTTGGTGGGCAAGAAATTTCTCCACAGGTATCTTGGGAATGGAGGGATGGTGACAGGGCCAGCAATCCAGTGATATGAGAGCCTTCAGAAAGTGGGGAAACAATGAAAGCTACTGTAGACCTACAGTATTTAACAAGACAGGGAAATTTTATTCATTCAACAAATCAACAAAATAAAAGTATATGTGTTTCTGGAATCTCTAGTGCATTTACATGAGAGAGAGTGTATATGCTAGATCTGGTTTAAGATACATCATGCACTAGAAGAAATCATCAGAAATCCCAAGACTAGGAAACAGGAAACCTCCAAGGTACCTTCCAACCATATTAGTTATATGTCCTGTATTCCAGGGATCTCCAACCTTGGGCCCTTGAAGCCTGGCGGACTTCAACTCCCAGAATTCCCCAGCCAGTTGGCTGGGGAATTCTGGGAGTCGAAGTCCGCCAAGCTTTAAGGGCCCAAGGTTGGAGACCCCTGCTGTATTTTATATCTCAGGAGAGAAACTTGGCAAAACCACTTCGATGTTGCTGCCGAGAAAGCTATATATATAGATGTGCATGAAGTTATTAAGAGCTGGCACCAACCGAGAGAGATGGAGGAGATCTTATACCCAATCGATGGAAGATTCAGCTGACAGTTTTGCCCAATCTCCCCATAGATTCTTGCCTGGGGTCTCCGAGACATGAAGAATTACAATCTGATGGTCGTGAACAATCCTAGCCTCATTATAGAGTGTGGGGGAGAATCCATTCAGACAACCACCATCAGGAACTTTCAGGAATACCCAAATTTTTCAATTAACGTCTATCTCATGAAAGTGGTGAGTTACATAAGCAAACTTTAAGAAACGGAGGGAGGAGTAAAATCCAGGTAGTCCTTGGTTAACAACCACTTCTTCAGTGATCATTCGAAGTTGTGGCCGCATTGAATGAGTAATACTTACGACCGGTCTTCAAAATTCTGATGGCCGCTGCACCCCATGGTCATGTGATTGCAATGAAAACTGCCAACATATTGCTCCTAATAAATAATTGGATTTCTTTTGAAACTTGGCTTGAGGCTCATGCATTAATTAGGGCATCCGTCGGAACCCTGACACACTAAATGTGGCAGCCATGAAGCTTCCAAGTAAAATATAGCTTCCTAGGCTGACAATAATCATGACTGCTATTCCCAACCTTCCCTGCTGGCTTCCCACAAGCAAAGCCACTCCTGTCACTTTTTCTCCCAAGGAGACCCCACAAAATCCCAAGGATCTTGTACTCCATAGCAGGCTCACACCACAGCATCACTTCCCCAGCTGCACCCCCTTGCACAATGCTGTAGCACCCTTTTCTCAGCCCACATACCCTCCCTTGGCATCACAGCAACCCCTCCCCAGCCCACCTGCAGTTCCGTGGGACTACAGGAGCTCCTACCCAGCCCACATTCACTCAGTGCAGCGTAACTTCACCTCACTCTGTAGATCTTGCCTTCTCCACAGCCCACTTGAGAATCTCCTGGGATTTCCAACTTCCAACCAGCTTCCCCAATGACTTTGTGGGAAAGCAGCAGGAAGTCACAAGATGCAGTCATGTGAAGTTCTCGCTTAACAATCCACAATTTTATCTAGTTTACATTTTTTCGTATCCCACCTTTATTGTTTTTTATCCATAGCTCAAGGTGGTGAACTTAACAATACTCCTCTCCCCTCCTCCTATTTTCTGCACAACATGCCTGTGAGGTAAGTTGGGCTGAGACAGAAGGACTTGCCCAAAATCAAGGGCGTACTGTTGGTATTGCCATCACTAAGTGATGTAGTCATGTGACATTGTGCCTGACAGTTGCATCACTTAACAAAGCCAATTCCAGTCCCCATTTCTGTTGTTCAGTGAGGTCTATCTTTAATCGGAAGTTATGAACTGAGTAATCTCAGAGGGATCACCCTCTTTCTTTATTGTACCCTATGACTATCATTAAGTGTTGTCCCTGATGATTCTTGACTCTTGACGAATGTATCTTTTCCCTTACGTACACTGAGAGCATATGCACCAAGACAAATTCCTTCTATGTCCAATCACACTTGGCCAATAAAGAATTCTATTCTATTCTATTCTATTCTATTCTATTCTATTCTATTCTATTCTATTCTATTCTATTCTATTCTATTCTATTCTATTCTATTCTATTCAAATTCTATTCTATTCTATTTTCTATTAAGTGTTGTCCCTGATGATTCTTGACGAATGTATCTTTTCTTTTATGTACACTGAGAGCATTTGCACCAAGACAAATTCCTTGTGTGTCCAATCACACTTGGCCAATAAAGAATTCTATTCTATTCTTTTCTATTCTATTGTTAACTCTCTTGAAAAGATTCCTTTTTCTGTCTTGATCTTCTGCAGTACCTGCCTGTTGATGAAGATTATTCCCCTCCCATTGAACTGAAGGTGATCGATCACCGCGATTTTGGATATAAGCCAGTGGTGGGCCAAGCTACAGTCAGATCTCTGAGTCAATATTACTGCAATCCATTGGAAGAAAGCAAAGTCCATAACCTACCGCCCCGAGGTATGCTTTATAAATGTCTTAGTAAGTCAGTTATCAATAAGTTATTCATCAAACAATTTAGGATAATATGATAGCACGAAATAGTCACAAGTATGCCGCAGACTGGGCATAGAGTCTTAATCCTTTCCATGTTAACCATTTTTTAAAAATTTGGGCATCATTACTCAGATGAGCTCCTAAAGCTGAATTGGCCCAGTCAGCTCAGTTTTTGGCGGGGCTTGTGGTCTATCTACAGCTAAGGTTAGAAGAAGCCAGTTGAGGTTGCTAGAAGTTTCACAAAAGCCCTTTTAAACCTTCTGAAGAGATAAGAAGAAGAGATAACTCATTGAACTATATCTGCTAAAAAGGGTGAATTCTGTTCCTGTTCAAATGTTTATGAATTTTTTCAATGTGTCTTTCCCTCCCTAACAGTCACTAAAAAGGTGAAGACGAAAAAGGTAAGTATCCCTATTGTTTGGTGTCACGATCATCATTTTGTTTCTTTTCTTCTTTGTGATGGGACCTGTTGTTTAGCAGAGAGAGAGGGAGGGAGGGAGGGAGAGGGGAGGAAGGAGGGAAGAAGAGGGAGAGAGAGGGAGATAGATAGATAGATAGATAGATAGATAGATAGATAGATAGATAGATAGATGGATGGATGGATGGATGGATGGATGGATGGATGGATGGATGGATAGATAGATAGATAGATAGATAGATAAAAGATAGATGGATGGATAGATAGATGAAAGATAGATGGATGGATAGATAGATAGATAGATAGATAGATAGATAGATAGATAGAAGATAGATAGATAGATAGATAGATAGATAGATAGATAGATAGATAGATAGATAATTTTCCTAATAGCAGAGCTTGGAAAAGACTTCTGCTTTATGACTTTGGCAAAATTCCTGCTTAAGCTAGAGAATAACATACACACAATTTTTATTGTGATCAATAAATCCATGCACAGTGAGCTATAGATTAGACACTCCCTGATCTGGCCCATTGAAACAGAATAACATAGAATAACAGGAGTGGAACGGACTTTGGAGACCTTGTAGTCCAAACCTCTGCTCAAGCAAGAGACCGTATCCCATCCTGGACAAATGGTTGTCCAACCTCTTCTTGAACATCTCCAGTGAAGGAGCACCTACAACTTCTGGAGGGAAGCTGTTCCACCAACCAACCATTTAATCCAGGCTTTGTTGGGAAAACAAGCATATATATGGGATTCAGTGAGATCCAGATTTAGAGCTAAAGTAGAGTGGAAAAAATACTCTGGAGAGGGGGAAACCTCACTGCATTTATCAGCAACCTCTTAAAGACCTGCTTCCTGGGTAGCCCCACTACCCAAAATAAATATAAGAGATAAGGAACAGCTCAATAGGATATCACAAGGTCATCGTCCTATTCTTGCACCTTTGCATCTTTAATATTTTCTTAACTTTTATGGTGGTTCCAACTCCTTTCTGGCCAGGGGAGTCAATTTGTGGTTATGGGAGAAGAGAGATCCGTCCTTGGACATTCCACAATGGTCTTGATTCTCTTCCTCATTGGGTTAAACATCTATGTGAGACCGCTTGAGGAGGCCATCCCTCAGCTCAAGAGAGATTGTCATCTATATGTTAATGATAGTCAGCTGTGTATCTCCAGGCCACGTAGAGATGCTGTCATGCCCCCATCTGCCTTGCTGGAATTATTGGACTCATTATTTTGCCTTGCTGGAGTCATTGATTGCAGTCATTCTGCTTCCAGCATTTGGACTGGAGTATCTGCAGCCAGAGGCTGTTGTAGGTTCGTGGGAGAGCTTTTCTCCAGGCTGGAGAGTAACCGGGATGTAAGGGGCAAAGTTGGAGCAAATAAAGGGACTCATACCTATTTTCTGGCTGTTTTGCCACACCCAGGTCATCACAGATGCAGAGAATAGAATTCTTTATTGGCCAAGTGTGATTAAACACGCAAGGAATTTATCTTCGGTGCATAAGCTCTCAGCGTACATAAAGATATAAGCGATAAATCATTATCATAGTCATCATAATACGTTCATCATGAATCATAAAGTACAACACTCAGTGATAATCATAGGGTATTAAATGAGCAGTCAACGTAAATCATACTAGGAAACTAAATAAAACAATATAAATCACAAAGATACAAGCAACAAAGTTATAGCCATAAGTAGAAAAAGGTGATAGGTAATAGGAAGGATGAGAAGAATAGCAATACAGTCTTAGTAAATAGTTTGATAGTGTTCTAATTCAATATCTGGTGGAAATCAGGTATGGGGTGGATGGAAACATGTTCTAAGTCCATCCAGGCACAATGGAGCTGCTGTTCCTGCAACGTTCTTCCAAGCAACTCCAGGTTTGAGTTGAGCTACTACTAGAAGAGCAGGTGTACAATCAAGGAAGGTTAGTGGTCCTAGACTCAAGAGTCCTGCTTAGCTATCATAGCCAGGTATATAGAAGATGATCTGGATGGAAAAAGCTCTGTTGCCTTGGCTACTGCACCAGTTGTAGCCTTTTCTGAAACAGGGTACTACTGCTGTCACTCGTGTATTTGATACCTATCTTTATTACCTATCAGTTGGATTGCTGTCATTCACTTTGCATGGAGCTGCCCTTGCAGGCTATCTGGAAGCTTCATTTGGTGTGGAACATAGCTATCCCCAATGAGCCAGAACTGGTGTGGCATGACAATATTGCACAACCTGAATTTGTTGTTAATTCAAAGTTCTGGTTATCAGCTACAAAACTCTATATGGCTGTTTTTCAATCTTGGCAACTTTAAGATAGATGGATTTCAACTCCCTGAATTTCCCAGCTGCCATGCTAAGAATGCATGCTAAGATTATAGTAAATGACCAGGCATTTACTATTTACTCCCCCACAAGTTTTGAATCCCAGAATCCTCTCGGAGAGAATCCTCTAGTAGAAGGTACAGCATTATGACTAATCAGTTGATGGGATTTTCTGAAAAGATTAACAGATTAAACAGAATTTGTTCTAATAATCACAATTAAGATTAATTCTGTTGCTTCTTACAGAGATTGACCAGCTTCAAATTATGGTCTTGGAGGAAAGCGAAAGAAAAGAAGGTAAATCAGGATCAAGATTTCGTTTTGATGTGGCTAGATTTTTGTGAGACAAAATGCCTTTGTAGATCTTCCCAAATGTGAGCCCGGGATTTTTTTTCCCACCCAACCATTTCCTTAGAGATATTTTGCTACCTGAGAGAGAAAGGCCAAGGGTGATCACCCCAAATCAAGAGGGGAAGTCAAGGGTTTCCTGTGTTAAGATTGTACTTGAGGTAGGAAACCCTTATCAGTACATTGCTTTCCATGGGAGGGCTCCAGACCTGGCAACTTTAAGGCTTGTGGACTTCCATTCCTAGAATTCTGCTGGCTGAGGAATTCTGGGAGTTGAAGTCCATAAGTCTTAAAATTGTCAAGTTTGGAGACCCTGTGCTATGGCAAAATACATACATACTGTACATACATCCATACATCTTGTCATCTTTAACCAGGGGTGGGCTTCAAATTTTTCAGAAAGGGGCTCTCTGCCCTAATGACTGGCTGGCTGGTCATGGCTGGGTGGTCATGTGACTGGGTGAGTGTGGCCAACTCAACATTGCTTCTTTGTCTTAATTACTTAAAAAAAAAGATAAATACCAAAAAGTTGTTTATTATTTCATGCATTTAATTTAATACTTAAATAAAAGACTGGGTGAAGTCAGGCTTACTAGCAGTGACTGTGAGAGGGATCTTGGAGTCTTAGTGGAGTTTCTTGTGAGTTACGTGATTCTTATTATTTGGGAAATAATCCCCTTGGAGGCTAGTGGCTATGTTATCTGGTTTTCTCAATGGCTCTCCCTTGCAAGCGCCGAGTGGATTGTTTATCTAGCTTGCAACACTTTTATGAGGTGTGAAATGCTCTTGGCCGAACGCCCAGTTCAATGAAGCCTATTAAGAGCTTTCCCTTGCTGCTTGTCTTTCGGAGGTTATTGGAAGCTCTCTGAGCCCCACAGTCTTAGCGAGGGACTCTCTGTTATGCGGTGCTAGGGATTCGAACCGCCAATTTCCCAACCTTTCAGATCGACAAGCTCAGCATCTTAGCCACTGAGCCACTGCATCCCATGTTGGAGAACATGGAGAGGGCCATACCCAAGCTTCTTTCTTTCCTTTTGGACAGACCGAGGAGGAGGAGGAGGAAGAAGAAGAAGAAATTGATTGGTGGAGCAAGTACTATGCCACAATGGGAGATTTGTCAAAGAGCGGACACTACCTGGAAAAGGGCTATGATAGCATAAAGGTGTGCTTTTAAAGGAAATATCATAAGAATACGGCACAGGGCAACAATTGTCACAAGAAATACAGCTCCCAAGTTTCCCTAGAGACATCCGGTGATTCCTGTTTTTCACTTCATCAAATATCCACCAAAGGGATCTCCAGTTTTCTCTGAAGCTTGGGGCTGGTCTCCATATCCAATGTGTCAATGTTCCCAGTGGTGGGATTCAAAGAATTTAACAAACGGTTCTCTGCCCTAATGATTTATTTCAACAACCAGTTCACCAAACTCCTCAGAAGGTTAACAACCGGTTGTCCCAAACTGGTGCAAACTGGCTGAATCCCACCACTGAGCGTTCCAACTGCAAATCAATAAACTCGAAGACAAACAGTTTCTCAACGTTCCATTTTATCAGAGTTGTCATATTGGCATATCTGGGGAAAACCTGAATCTGAGGGTTCCAGGTTTTCCCCTTTCCAAAAGAGAATTCAAAGATCCATCCTCTGCACCCACCAGTCCATCACATGGCCCAATCAAATCTTCATCCCAAATGGAGACATTCCCCCCAGTCACTCCCCTCCAGGTGCAGGGCAACATGTCCTTGACTCTCTGAGAAAGAGTGTTGTTGAGTCTAATCTTCCACCTCTCTATGAAATCCCCCCTCCCAAATTCCCAGGCAGCCTCGAAGCTTCCAAGTAAAATATGG